GCTATGCTATGCTATGTGATGCTATGTTTTGCTATGTTATGCTATGCTATGCTATGCTATGCTATGCTATGTTATGCTATGCTATGCTATGCTATGTGATGCTATGTTTTGCTATGCTATGTTATGCTATGCTATGTTATGTTATGCTATGCTATGCTATGTGATGCTATGTTTTGCTATGTTATGCTATGCTATGCTATGTTATGCTATGCTAAACTATGCTATGCTATGCTATGAGTTTTTTTGCATGTGTTTACTCTATAGGGACAAGTGCACACAATCAACATGTGACACACAACATTTGTAGCGGTGGCAAATTGGCAAAGTTTCTATACTGTATATTGACCACACATGGCTTTGTCTGTAGGGTTATGTTTTCACCTGGTTTATCTACTTCTTGGACCACAGCTTAACAAAAACTAAAGGAAAACTGATTTTTAAGGATTTTTTGGTCACGGGACTACATTTTGGAGATGATCACGTCACTGCGAGAAACCAGGACTTTCCTTATGTTTATTTTATAATTATTTTTATTTTAAATACGACAAACATGTAACCAGTGTTACACAACGGCAGGCGACAGATCAGAAATACAAACCCATGATAATGAAGCGTCTAATTGAGCGATAAGTGCATCTTAAACCTGTTTCTTCTCATGAATGAAAGATGGAGTCGTTAAGTGCAGCTAACGAACGGATCAATTATTAAAGCAGAAGGTGAAAGAGCAAAGTCCTGTTAGTCTGAATCTTTCATCTTCACATGGTTTGGATTCTGCACCGGCCCAAACCACATGGTCCTGGTTAAACAGGCCGTGATGGTTTAGGTCCCACATGGTCCTGGTTAAACAGGCCGTGATGGTTTCATTTTCATTTCATTTCATTTATTTATTTATTTAATATGGACATAGCAATTAACATTGGACGAACCAGATGCATTGTTTAAAGTGTTATAGCACAAGTGCTAATTTTCAACACCTGTCCATAGGGGGCTTTTAGGTTACAAAGATAAAACACAATAGGAAACAAGGTTACAATAAAACACATTATTAAACAAGATAAGACATGTTTTAAACATGGGAACAAGTTTGGCCCGATTTGAGCCACTGTTTAAGCTCTCTGGTAAAGATGTTGATATTATTCTGCAGTTTCAGTGCAGTGGGGAGAGAGTTCCACAGTGTAGCCCCTCTAAAGGAGAAGCTCGACTGTCCAAAAGATTTTCTAAACTTTGGGAGCACACAATCCCCGCTAACTGAGGCTCTGGTGGAGGGTCTGAGAGAGCCCTGAAACCTCACCATGAGGCCAGAGAACAGTGGTGACACACAGTTGTTCAGACATTTAAAAGTCAATTTCATTATACTAAAATTTATAAAGTTTTCAAAAGTAAAAAGCTTGTGCTTTTGTATGATATCACAATGATGCCATCTCAAAGGTTTCCTGTCGAATATCTTAATTGCCTGTTTATACAGAGAGGTGACTGGTTTCAGAGTGGATGCCGATGTTTGTGACCATGCTGTAATGCAGTATGACAGATGTGAAAAAACCATTGCATGCATATACAATAAAGCCGCGTGATGTGATAACTCTCTTCTTATAAAACGAAAACAGTTCAGATTTGATTTGACTTTCCTGCAGACGTTATTTGCTTGACTTTGGAACTTCAGGTGTTTATCTAAGATAATGCCCAAGTATTTTGTTTCATGAACCTCCTGAATGGGTTCATGTTCTAATTGAACCTCAAAGGTGCTGTCAGGGGACCTCCGGCTGATAGAGAAACATATTGAGAATGTTTTCTTTACATTTAAAGTTAAATGGGACAGTTGAAGCCATCTTGAGATGTTATGTGAAGCCTGTGTTAACAGCTGCCCAGCCAGTGCAGATGTTTTTGCTGACACATAAATAACTGTGTCGTCAGCATAAAGCTGGCAGTTTACACCCTGACAGCAATCTGGGAGATCATTTATATACATTGAAAACAGCAACGGTCCTAGGACTGACCCTTGAGGCACTCCTAAGTCATTTGGACTCAGGGTGGATTTAACGCTTCCTACTTTCACACATTGTTCTCTACCCTCCAGGTAGGACTCAAACCATGACAGAGCTGTAGCTGAAAATTGAAATTGCTGTAATTTCTGCAATAAGATGCAATGGTCCACTGTGTCAAAGGCCTTCTTCAGATCTAAAAACACAGCGCCTACAACATTCCCTTTATCCAGTGAACCTTTGATCTGTTCCAACAAAAAGCAGTTGGCTGTTTCTGTGCTGTATTTTTGTCTGAACCCAAACTGCTGGGGATGCAACAGTTGGTTATTATCAAGATGTTCTATTAATTGCCCAGCTACAATTTTTTCCAGCACTTTGGAAACTACAGGAAGAATGGAAATAGGCCTGTAGTTGCAGGCTTGGTCTTTGTCGCCTGACTTATAAATTGGAGTGATTACAGCAATCTTCCAGCTCTGTGGGAAAGTGTTTGTTTGTATTGACAAGTTTACAAGGTAAGTTATAGGATCAAGTAAGCTGCTTAGATGTTTTTTAATTAGAGCTACATTGAGATTATGTATGTCTCTTGATGTAGAATTTTTCATATTGACTATAATTTTCCTTACTTCATCATGCAAAACTTCTCTGATTTTAAAATGATCTGTACTGCTACGCTGAGCTTTGCTCTCAGAAGGCAATTTGCCCTTGAATGGTTTGGCAAGATCGTGGACTGATTCAACAAAGAATTTGTTGAACTCGTTTGCAATTGACTGATTGTCATTAACATAATTATCATCAATTTTAAGGCAATCTGTCATTTGAAGATTTTTCCGATTAGAATTTGTCAATTTGTTTATATGTTGCCATAGTTTGGAGCTGCTTCCATTTGCTTCTTCTATCATTTTTATAAAATATTTAGTTTTAGCTTTGCGCAGCTCACTTGTGACTTTATTCCTGAGGCCAGTGAAAATGAGATGGTCGGTATTATTCCTAGATTTGAAGAACTTTTTGAGTGCAAGGTCACGATTTTTAGCCATTCGCCAAATGTCACTATTGAACCACGGAAGAGAATACCTTCTTGGTTTACTTGTCCAGCTTTGTGTGTGTTTATTTATTACATCATTTAATTTAGTGACAAAATTGGATGCACTCAAATTTAAATCAGACTCCGCAGTAACACTGTTCCAATTAATTTGGTTTAACTCATTTTCAAAATCATTTATTTTTGCTTTGGGAATTCCTGTTGTTTTCATTTTGTTCTCTGCTTTGTTATGATTAATGAGACGCTTTTTAGTTAACTTTCTGACAACTAATGTCATATTATGATCGGTAAGCCCTGTTATCAGGTTATATGTTTTAGTTATTCTTTCTGGTCTATTTACAAAAATCAAGTCAATCAATGTTTTGCTGTGTCTGGTGATTCTAGTAGGTTTGTTTATCATTTGCTTATATTTGAATTTATCCATCAAAGATTTCAGCTTTGTTCTGCTTTTTTTCTCCTGCCAATTTATATTGAAATCACCCATAATTATACATTCAGTACATTTATCAACATTCAATAGGAGACTCTTAAAATCATCATAGAAAGTGGCTCCATGTGAGGGTGGATTGTAGATAACAATTAATTTAAATTTCATTGTTGTAGACAGAATTACATTTAGCCCCAGGCATTCCAGTTTCACATCAATGTAAACTTTCTCACATTTAAATATTTCTTTAATGTATAATAGCACACCCCCACCCCGTCCTTGGTCCCTGTCTCTCCTGTAACACTTGTAACCAGGTATGTTGATCAGGTTTGTTGGAGTGGATGAATTCAGCCAACTCTCAGTCACACATAGGTAATCCAAGTTAGAGTCAGTTAACAGTCTATTAATTTGATCTATTTTTGGTAGAATACTCCTTATATTAATGTGTCCTCCTAACATCCCCTTTGGTTTTGTTTGGGGATTCCAAATAATCTGGGCATGATTTACAGTTTGGAAGATCTTCAGCTCTTTCTGCTTGAGCGCTGCGCGATTTGGATTTTTGGTCCTTATGAGTTGCCGTCGTTGTTTGCATTCTGCATCTATTGTAATGTATGCGCCTTGTAGATCAAAACTTACCGCCCTGTGCAATTCCGAGCTACAGACGCCGTTGTTTTGTGATTCTGTTGCTGGTACTGGATGGCATACTCCGAAGCTCCGCTCTTCGTTGGAGTTAGGGCCCCGTATCTGCTGCGGCTCCAGCATGGCAGTGTTCGCAACTGCCTCGTCCAGCCCGCAGATGGATGTACTCAGATGTCCAGATGCCCCAGCGGATTCAGCAACAGCAACAGGAAAAAACACGTCTACTGCAGTGTCCACTTGCGAGACGTGATGACCCGTCTCACCCACACTGGCCAAAACGACGTCGCTATGCGAGTTGATCCCATCCTGCAGAGGCGTGAATATTTGTGATACACATGTTTTATTGTTAGTCAGAAAGAGTGTATTTATTGTCTCATTAACTCCCGGAATCGAATCGTTAGCTTGGTGCTGTTGTTCCAAGGTGTGTTTGAGTTCATCATCTTTATGTAGAGGCCCGGGATTTAGGTGTACATCTCCCGACAGAAGTAGCATCAACAGTAGAGTTTTCATTACTCTTGGAGGAGCGTTCTTTTGCTTGCTCATGCAGTTGCGTTGGTTTGGTCTTTTGGCTGCCTGTACTTCATTTGCAGCAGAGGTGTGGGAGAAGATGGTAGCATAGCCAAATCCAAAAAAATTTAGTTTGGCTTTCTCACCCAAAATGCCAAGTGGATCTTGATCAGCGGCAGCACGGTTGTTCGTATTTTCACCCGCTTTAGTTGGTACATCGCAGATGAACAGTACAGGCATAAGCGCCAGGGCGGCAACAGGTAGCAAAAGCTGCAACGTGGTAGTTGTCATGCTCGTGTTTGCGGTTTCTCTTTTGTTTGAGAAAGCATTTGAAAATATCATACAAAGCTTTGTGCCACAACTTTAAAATACCAATTGTAAGCTGGTAGGGGACTGTAAAAGCGGCAATATGTGCCGATTTGTGCTCGTGAGTGGAGCCTCCCAAACCACTCACAGTTGGTGGGGTGGGGGGGGGGTTGTTTGGGGGGTGGGTTGGGTTGGGTGTTTGATGGGGGGTTGGGGGGTTGGGTGGTAGTGGTAGGGGGGGTGTGGGGGGGGGTGAGGGTATTGTTTGTTTGGTAGAGTTGTTTGTTATTTGTTTATTTTTTGATTTTAGATATATTGATGGGGATATATATTTTATAGTTTGATTAATTTGATATTTAGGTATAGGGGGGGTTAGGGGATAGGGGGGGGAGTGGGGATGGATTTGGGGGGTAATTTGGATGGTGTATGTTATGGGGGGGTTTTGTTGGGTTGGGTATTTTTGGTGTGGTGTATTGTAGGTGTGGGGTGGGGGGGGGGTGGGGGTTGGGGGGGGGGTGGGGGTTGTGGTTGTGGTTGGGGGGTGGGGGGGGGTGTAGTTTGGGTTGGGTGGGGTGGTGGGTTTGGTGGTGTTGTTGTTGTTGGTTGTTGTTGGGTTGGTTTGGTTGGGTTGGTGGGTTGGGGTTGGGTGGTGTTTTGGTTGGTTTTTTGAGGTGGTTGGTGTGTGGTGAGGGTGTGTTGTTTGTTTTTGTGTGGTGATTGTGGTGTGTTATGGTGTTGATTAGTGGGTTTGATAAAATTAGGTATAGGATTTTTTTGTGGGTAGTTTTTGGGTTGAGGTGGTGGGGGGGGTGGGTTTTTGGGGGGAGGGGGTAATATGGGGGGTGGTGTGTTTGTATGGTTGATGTGGGGGTTGGGTTTGGGGGTTGGTGTTGGGTGGGGTGGGTTGGGGGGGGGGGGGGGGGGGGGGGTTGTTTGTGGGGGGGGTGGTTTGAGGGTTGGGTGGGTTGTTGTTGTTTTTGTGTTGGTTGTTGTGTGGGTGGGGGGGGGTTGTGTTGGGGGTTTTGTGGGGTTGGTTGTGGGGGGTTGGGGTGGGGTGGTTGGTGGTGGTGTGTTGGTGTGGGTGTGGGTGGGGGGGTGGTGGGGTTGTGGTGGTGGGGGGGGGGGGGGTTGTGTGTGTGTGTGTTTTGTTGTGGTGGGTGTTGGTGGGGTGGGTTTTGGGTTTTGGGGGGTTTTAGGTGTGGGGTGGGGGTGGTGTGTGTTTTGTGGGTTTGTTGTTTTGTTGGTTGGTTGGGTGGTGTGTGTTGTTGGGGTTTATTTGGTTTTGGTGTGTTTGGGGGGGTGGAGGTGGGTGGTGGGGGTGTGTGGGGGTGTTGGGGGGGTGGGTTTTGTTTTGGGGGGGGTGGGGGTGTTTGGTTGGGTGGTGTGGGTTGTGGGGGGTGGAGGGGGGGTGTGTTGGTTTTTTGTGGGTGGGGGGGGGTTGTTTTGTTTTTAGTTGGGGTGTTTTGTGGGGAGGGGGAGTTTGGTGTTGGGGGTGTGGTGAGGTGGTGGTTAGTTTGTGTTGGTTTTGGTGTTTTTTTGTGTGGGGTATGGTATGTGGGTAGTGGGGGGTGGTTGGGGGGGGAGGGTTTTGGGGGGTTTGGTTTTTTGTGGTTTGTGAGGGGTGGGTTTATGTGTGGGGGGGGGGGGGGTGGGGGGGGTTGGGTGGTTGGTTTTGGTGTTGGGGGGGGGGGTTTTGGTGGTGTGGGTGATGGGTGGGGGTGGGTTGGGGGGGGGGGTTTTGGGGTGGGGGGGGGGGGTTGTTGTGGGTTGTTGTTGTGGTGTTGTGGGTGTGGGGTGTGTGTGTGTTGGTGTTGGTGGGGGGGGGGGGGGTTGGGGGGTGTGGTGGGGGGTGGGGGGGGGGGTTGTGGTTGTGGGGAGGGTGTTGGTTGGTTTGTTGGTTTAGGTTGTGGGTGGGGGGTGGGGGGGTTGGGGGGGTGGGGGGGGGGGGGGTGGGGGGTGGTTTTGTTTTTGTTTGTGGGGGGGGGTGGTGGGGGTGTGGGGTGGTGTGGGGGTTGTTTGTTTGTTGTTGTTTGGGTTTGTGTTGTTGTGTTGTGGTGGGGGTGGGTAGGTTGTTTGGGGGGGGGGGTTTTGGGGGGGTTGTTTGTTTGTGGGGGTTTGGTGTGGTTGGGTGGGGTGGGGGGGTGTGGGGGTGTGGGGGGTGGGTGTGGGGTGGTGGGTTGTGGTTTTTTTGGATGGGTTTGGGTTGGGTTGGGTTGGGTGTGGGTGTGTGTTTGGTGGGGGGGGTGGGGTGTTGGGTGGTTGGGGGGGGGGGGGGGGTGGGGGGGTTGGTGGGGGGGGTTTGGGGGGGTGGGGGTGTGGGGGGTGGTTGGGTTGGTGTTGGGTTGGGTTTTGGTGTGGGGGTTTTTTGTTGGGTGTTTGTGGTGGTGGTGTTTTTTGGTTGGGTTGGGTGGTGGTTGGGGTGGGTTGTTTTTTGGTGTGGGTGTGGGTGGTTGGGTTGGTGGGTTGGGGGGGGGGTGGGGTGTGTGTGGTGGTTTTTGGTTGTTGTTGTGTGGGGGGTTGTGGTTGGGTTGTGGGGGTTGTTGGGGTGTTGGGGGGTTGGTGGGGGGTGGTGGGGTGGTTTGTGTTGGGTTGTGGGTTGGGGGGGTGGGGGGGGGGGGGGGGGGGGGGGGGGGGGGGGGGTTTTGGGGTTGTGGGGGGGGGGGGGGTGGGTGTGGGGGTTGGGGTTTGTTTGGGTGTTGGGGGGTTGGTGTGTGTTGTTTTTTTGGGTGGTTTTGTTTTTTGGTTGTGGTTTTGGTGGGGTGGGGGTTATGGGGGGTTTTTGTGGTGGGTGGTTTTGGGGGGGGTGGGGGGGGGGGGGGGGTGTAGTTATGGGTTGGGGGTGGGTTGTGGTTGGGGGGGGGGGGGGTGTGTGGGGGTGGGTGGTGTGGTTGGGTGTTGGGTGGTGGGGTGGGTTTTGGGTTTGTTGTTGTTGTTGGTTGTTATGTGGGGGTTGTGTGGGGGTTGGGTGGGTTGGGGGGTGGGGTGGTTGTGGTGGGGTGTTTGTGGGTGGGTGGGTGGTGGGGGGGGGGGTTGGGGTGTGGGGGGGGGGTGGGGGGTGGGTGTTGGGGGGGGGGGGGGGTGGTAGGGTGGTGTTTTGGTGGGTTTTGGTGTGTTGGTTTTGGTGGGAGGTTTGGTGGTGGGTAATAATGGTAGTTTTGGGGTTGGGGGGTTGGGGTTGGGGGGGGGGGGGGGGTTGGGGGGGAGGGGGGGAGGGGTGGGTGGGGGGTGTTGATGGGTTGTTGGTAGGTTTATGTGTGGGGTTGTGTTTGTTGTTGGTTTGGTTGGTGGTTGGTTTTTGGTTTTTTGTGTGGTTTTGGTGTGGTAGTTGTTATTTTTGTTTTGTTGGTGGTTTAGTGAGGGTTAGGGGAAAAATATGGGGGGGGGATGTTTTAGAGGGGGGGTTTAAAGGGAGAATGGGAAAGGGGGAAGAGTTTATAGGGGGGGGGTGGGAGGGATATGGGGGGGGGTGGTAATATAGATAATAATTGATAGAGATGAAATTTGGTATTTTGTGGTGTTTGTTGAGGGTGGGTGTGTAGGAAGGGTGTATGTAATTGGATGATTTAAGATATGGGGGGATTGTGGGAGATGGAGTGAATATGGGGGAATTTTTAGGTAAATTATGATTTGAAATATGATGATGGATAGAGGTATGGAGTATGGGGGGGGTTTGGGGGGTGGTGGTGTTAGGTGTTAAATGTGGGTTTTAGGGTATTTGTATTGTTATTTTTAGGTGAGGGTGTATTTGTTGTGGTTGGTAGGTGGGGGGGGGGGGGGGGGGGTGGTTGGGGGGTTTTGTGTTTTGTGGTGGTGGTGGGTTAGGGGGGGGTGTAGTGTGTATGTTGGTTGGGGGGTTTGGTGGGGTTTTTGGTGTGTGTTGGGGGGTGGGGGGTTGGGGGTTGGGGGATTTTTGGTTTGTGGGGTTTGGGGGGTTTGGGGGTTGGGTGTTGGGGTTTGGGGGGTTGGGGGGGGGTTGGGGGGGTTGGTTGTGGGGGGGGGTTTGGGGGGGGTTTGGGGTTTGGGGGTGTGGGTGGGGGGTTGTTGGTTGTGGGGGTTGGGGGGTTGGGGGGTGTGTGGGTTGGGGGGGGGGTGGGGGGGTTGGGGGTTTGGGGGGTTGGGGTTTGGGGGGGGGGTTGGGTGTGTTGTGGTGTGTGTTGGGTTTGGGGGTTGTGTGTGGTGGATTTTTGTGGTTGGTGTGTGGGGGGTTGTGTGGTTTTTTGGGTTGGTTGTGTGTGGGTTGTTGGGTTGTGGGGGTTTGTTTTGGGTGTTGTGTTTTGGGTGTGGGTGTGGGTTGGTGGGGGGGGGGGGGGTTGTGGGGTGTGTGGTGTTGGGTGGGTTGGGGGGGGGGGGGTGTGGGGTTGGGGGGGTGTGGTTGTTGTTGGGTGGGGGGGGTGGGTGTTGGGTTGGTGTGTTGTGTGTGGGGTTTTGGGGGGGGGGGGGGGGGGGGGGGGGGGGGGGGGGGGGGGGGGGGGGGGGGGGGGGGGGGGGGGGGGGGGGGGGGGGGGGTGGTGGGTTTTGGTGTGGGGTTTGGTGGGTGGTGTTTGTGGTGGGGGGTTGGTGGTGGGTTTGGTGTGGGGTTTGGTGGTGGGGTTTGGTGGTGGGGGTTGGTGGTGGGTTGGTGGTGGGGTTTGGTGGTGGGGGTTTGGTGGTGGGTTTGGTGGTGGTTTGGTGGGTGGGGGTTGTTGTGGGGTTTGGTGGGTGGGTTTGTGGTGGGTTTGTGGTGGGTTTGGTGGTGGGGTTTGTGGTGGGGGGTTTGGTGGTGTGTGGTGGGTGGGGTTTGGTGTGGGGGGGGGGTGGGGGGTGGGGGGGGGGGGGGGGGTGGTGGGGGGTGGTGGGGTGGGGGTGGGGGGGTGGGGTGTTTTGGGGGTGTTGGGGTGGGGGGTGGGGGGGGTGTGGGGGTGTGGGGGGTAGGGGTGTGTGTGGGGGGGGGTGGTGGGGTGGGGGGTGGGGGGGGGTGTGGGGGGGGGTTGTTGTGTGGGGGTTGTGTTGTGGTGTGGGGGTTTTTTTTGGGGGTTTTGGGGGGGGGTTGGGTGGGGTGGGGGTGGTGGGTTTTGTGGGTTGGGGGGGTTGTTTGGGTGTTGGTTGTGGGGTGGGGTGGGTGGTTGGTTGGGGGGGTTGGTGGGGGGGGTTGTGGGGGGGGGGTGTTGGGGTGGTGTGGGTTGGGGGGTGTGGGGGTGGGGGTTGTGGTTTTGGGGGGGGTGTTGGGGTGGGGGGGGGTTTGGGGGGGTTGGGGTGGTGTTTGTTGGGGGGGGTGGGTGGGGTGGGGGGGGTGGGTGGGGGGGGGGGGGGGGTTGTTTTGGGGGTGGGGGTTGGGGGGGGGTGGGGTTGGGGGGTTGGTGGGGGGGGGGGGGGGGGGTGGGGTGGTGGGGGGGGGTGGGGGGGTGGGGGGGTTGTGGGTTGGGGTGGTTGTGGTGGGGTGGTGGGTGGTGGGTGTGGGGTGGGGGGTTTGGGGGTGTGTGTGGTTGGGTTTGGGTGTGGTTGGGTGTGGTGGGTTTGTGTTTGGGGGTGGGGTGGGTGGGGGTTGGTGTTGGGTTGGGGTGGTTTTGGGGGTTGGGGTGGTGTGGTTTGGTGGTGTTGTGTGGTGTTGTTTGGGGGTGGGTGGGGGGGGGTGGTTGGTGGGGGTTTTTTGGGTTGGTTTTGGGGTGGTTGGTGGGTTGTGGGGGGGGGGGGGGGGGGGGGGGTGGGGTGGTGGTGGGGGTGTGGTGGGGGGGGGGGGG